AAGGACTGTGAAGGAGTTGCCTTCCCTTGGCAGGAAGTACCTGTCAGGAGAGCATGCCCCCTCAGTCAATTTTCTATAATTGCAGCAGGCTGGTGTTGCCCTTTCTGCCTTTGGAAAATCCTGGTTGAGGGCCAGAGCTAACCCTGAACTGGGTGTCTGTAGGTGCATCTGCACAAGACGTTTACTGCGGAGCTGCCTAATTAGCTCTGTAGTAAAGTTTCTGCATCTACATGTGCTAGTATACTAATAAACTTCACCGTAGGACAGTACTTGTAAATACAAGTACTATCCTACTGCAGAGTTATTTACTGCACAGCAGCATATGTGTAGACGCTGATGGGGCTGGCTGAAGCACGAGGATGCTTCAGTATGGGGGCTACCTGTAGGCTAGCCTGGCATTGAAGCACCCTTGTACCCCAGCAAGCCCCTCTGAAGCATGCTGAGCTGGGTCAGAGCAGCTCCAGGCTGGCAGGTTGACCCCTAGGCCCCTTGCCAGCTGGAGCTGCTCCAACCCAGCTCAACATACTGAGGTCCCTGGTGCACGTTCAAATGATATGTGCCAGAGTTTATTGCTCTGAATGAATTGCATGTGTAGATGCATCAACGATGTGCAACCCAGATGGGATCTATCCGGGAAGCATCTATAGGACTAACACACAAATCCCAATGTGGGGAATAGAAAGTTCTTCCCCACAGCAATGTCCATGGCAGAGGGAATCCTGGAAAGAGTGACACCAGTCTCCACAGCAGTGAGAACTTGTCCCCAGCTCCCAGAATTTACCTGTCTACCTCCCAGTATACCTATTAGGGTATAAGGGAATAAGGGGGCGATTTTCAAAAGGGTCTGAATGATATTGCCCCATTGGAAAACAGTGAGGCTCAGCCTCCTAGGTCACAGAGATGCTTCTGAAAATGTTACCTTACTTATGTCCGTGAACCCAGATTTAAGCTGGTGCTCGGGAGTCAATACATTTTCAAAGAAGTGGAACTTAGCCCAGGAAATAGAGAAGCTAAGCAAAAAATCTGAACTATACTCCTTGCCAAGTAACTGCCATAGCACACTAAAATAAAACAGGCCTACAGTTTGCCCCCTCTTACACCCGGCAGGCATATTGATCTCAACAAGGCTGGCCAAAAAAAGTGTGTGTCAAGACAGATTTGAGCCCAGAAAGCTTTATATGCTTAGGAAAGACACCATCTTTCTCACTCTTTCTCTTTTTCCTTTCCTATTCTTTATATCCCATTCCCTTATCCTCTTTTCTTCTCTCTCTCTTAAATTTGCATGCCTTCTCTCTCTCTCTCTCTCTGTCTATTGGGTCAATCTGTTTACCTCCATCTGTTTCTCTATAGCAGATAGTACTATAACTTGGTGATATCTGTGGGTATCTATTTGTGGACTACAAGAATCGCAAAGGAAAGGAACCAGGACAATGGGCAATAAACAGGTGTGTGATACCACAAAAGCACCACCTCCAGGAGGAGCTTGCACCCTTAGATCATTTCACAAGGCTTCAGAGTGAGGCTGCGAATGAATAAGTATTGGAATAGCTAGAAAGGCAATGTGTGGGTGAGTATTTGGATGGAAGATGGATGGACAGAAGGGCAGATGGGTAGATAGCTGTTAGAGAAGAATGAAGAGAGAGATTGATAGTGAGATACATTTACGGGTGAATGGGCAGACAGATGGTTAAGATAAGTGTACAGATCTGGATGTCTGGATGTTCTTACGGACTGAGGAAAGGGATTCAAGTTTGTTTCCGTTAAAAAGACTTAATTGGCCTCATTATACTGAAGGGAATTGACAACAAATACTAGACAAATCCAGCGTACAATGTTTCTTCTGTCATTTACCAATATTTAGAGTCCATTTTTCCCTATCTCTCGTGAAGGATTTTAACAGAATGACACACAGCTTCTAAATAGGCTTTTTCACTGACAGACAGTTTGTGCAGACACAACGGACTATAATAACATGGTGCCTGCTATTTTCTGCCTTAGCGGTAACATGTACAGCTTAGAAGTATACCATGCTCTTAGGTCAGTAACAAAGAGAGGACCAGCTAAACTAAAACATTAACCAGTGCTGACTGATTCACTACAGAATCTGCACAATCTGTTCTGACTGTACACTCCCATTAACCTCCTTTTATTCCCCTTCAATATCCAACACCCCATCCACAGCCTGCTTAAACAGTTCCTGAATGTTAAAACCTCACGTGTAGCAGTCGAATATTTATTTATGTTTGTGGTTCCTTAAACAGTGATACCACCCTTAATGCACTGAAACCTAATGCATTTCAATTAGGTTATTATAGAGCCCATCCCAATACAATGGAAATATTTCCATGTTAATATTCAGGTTTTGCAACAGAAAATAGGTGGGGAGGGAGGGAGGAAGAGATGGATGAATAATACTGACTGACAGGCAGAGACAAAAGAACTCAATGAAAGAATAGGTGAAAAGATAACAAAGAAACCAAGGGAAACTACCCGGTGTGGGAGGCTGGATGGACAGACCGGTGTTGTTGGTCTAGGTGCTTTGTGAGCTTCTGTGGTGTCCTGCTTGCTTACAACAGGGTGAACACGGACTTGCTGGTAGCCAGGGTTTCGGCATGGCAAGAGCTACAGATGGATGGATAAAGCAGATGGGTAGGTGGGTGAACAGCAGAATGGATGGAGGGCTGGGCAGGGGGAATAGCAGAAAGGCCTAGATACAAGTGGCAGGTTTGATTGCACATGGTTAGAAAGATAGAAATGACAGCCAGGCACAAACATAACATGACAGCCTGACAGAATTTTTATTCCCAGGAGCCAGGATACTAAAATATTTACTCCAGGTTTCTGTCTTGCACTCTCCCAGGGGAGTACAGTTAACAAAGGCTGCCTGTGTTACATGTGCAGTACAAAGGAGAAATTACCATCCCCTTTCTGTTCCCAAACCGTACAGATTTCCATCACCTTTGTCTACTGTTTCCTTCATTACACTTTAGGCCAGGGTCACCAACTGGTAGCTGCCCCCCCAGCCATATCTCGTCCTCCCCCTTCTTTTTAGCCCCACATATAGGACAAGTGCACACTGCACAGACCAACCATCTGGACACCCCAACTCTATATCTCTGCTACTCTTCACCATTCAGGTGGATTGCAACCAAGAATCGTTTGCTAAAATAATAATGCCTGGTAGTAATGAGAGGGAGGAGGGAAGAAAACAATCAAGAAGAAGCAGATGAAGGGGGAAGAGAGGAAGAGAAAGTGAGCGAAAAGAAAAGCAAGGTCAGAAAAGAAAAGAAGAACATGATGCTGGAGAAGAGAAAAAGAATAGGAGGGGAATGCAAAGAACGCGGAGGGTGCTAGAAAGAGAACAAGGAAAATGAGAAATCAACAGAGCCAGGAACAGAAGGGGTCTGTATGCTGTTTCCCTTCTGATTTCAGCATGTGGTCACTCCTCTCTGCAAAGCTGATCTGACTTTTGCTCAGCATTAGTGAAATGGCTAGTGTTGCTCCAGCCTTGCCAGCCTGAACTGTGCACTCACAGAAGTGACCTCATTGCAAAGCTGGCTGTTCAGTGTTAGTGGCTAGATTCAGTGTAATGGCCTCAGCACCCCCTTCCCCCCGCTGTGGGAAATCTACCAGAGGCGTTGTGTTGGTTCAGCGCAACCTTCGCTCCTCTCTGCCAGGTGGCCAGCAGGGTGTCAGAACCGTCTCACACGTGGGCAATGCTGCCCAGGCATGTGGTCGGTGCAACTGTGGGATGCATAGTGCCGTGGTGCATTCCTATAGCAGCAGAGCCCCATTAGACCCTGACCCACAGATGCACTGCATCTCCTTCCTCATGGTAGTAACCCCCCGGTAGGTGGCACCTGCTCTACCACCTTCCTTTCACAGGGTGCTGGAAGGATACAGGAGTGCAAGATATGGCTAGTGCTCTGAGTTTGAAACGACACTTTCTAACACAAATAAGCATAATAAAGCCCTGGGAGCCTCTTGCTACATGGCTAACATTGACTTTGAAGCTGAGATCTTTCATTCCAAAGTTCATTGCATTTACACCTTCTTCTACACAACAAGTTTGACCCTGGCCCATGACATGGGGGCTCCATAATCCCCTTGAGGCGCAGTGGAGCTTCTGTTAGTGTCAACAGAAGGTTTGCAGAGAGACTGGGGGAGCTCAGCCTTTACGTAGGAACTAAGCTTTTAGCCATCCACATGGTTCATTAACTACTTGGTGTGTTACTACCCGATAAGCATTGCTCAATTCCTTTTTAGGACCAGTGCTATTTCTTTCCCTTCCTTTTCTTCCTTCCCCCATTCCCTTTCCTTTATCTCTCCCTCCTCCCTTGTGCCTTTTTGTGTCTCTCCTTTCTTCCATCTGTACTTCCCACCCAGCAGCAACTTTGAATTTTCAGTTCCCTTTTGCTCATTCCTGATTCCATTTGTTAAAACAAGCAGCAAGGAAGTCATTAATGTTAGGTCAAGCCATCACTTGACCTTAGATGCCAGGGAGAGTTCACCTCTCTTGGTGCCATTGTTTCAGGCTCTCTGCATACTTAAGTAGACATAACTGCATCAGTTATATTCAGGTCAGCCGGGAAAGGATTTCTTCACACCTAACAGGCTAGAAGATTTTTGTTTATTTTTTGAAGGAGAGGCTAGTTTCTGGCCACATTGTGCTGATCATGAGTTGCAGATACTGCTTTACATATACCTTGGCCTGCACTGATACTTAAAGAATTCTTATATATGTCTTGCAGATGAACTGTGTGCACATGCATATATTTATTTGCAAGTCTGAGTGTGTGCATAAAGAGGTGGATGCATCCATCTTACATGTATTCACTTCTATTCCATTTACAGTCTCTGTGATGCTGTGCTTAATATGTGCATTTTTGTGGCTCCTAGGATATGAATTTAGGGGAAAAAAGGGGCTGGGTTTCCCTTTTCCTCATTAAAAATTCCACACCCTGCAAGAGGTATCTGGACTGTACCCCTGCAGGACTCACCGGCTTGGTTTGTGGTGATGTTCACTGAGACGTGCTGTGGAGGAAAGGGGCTCTTGTTGGAAACACCATTGACGGCCTGGATCTCGAAGGTATACGGCGTATGGGCCCAAAGGTTGCTGATGAAAACCCGAGTCTCTGTCAAACCCAGCTGCCTGGGTACAAACTCTACATTGTCATCACAGCGGGAGCAGCTGCGGCGGTCAGCCCGACACTTCTTACAGACAATGTTGTAGGTCACGTCATCACGGCTGCCTGTCTCCCGGGGTGGGTGCCACTCTAGGATGATAGACGTTTCATTGACAATGGAGATAACATTGCGGGGACCGGATGGGACACCTGTTGAAAAGCAGATCAATTTGTAAGGTTCATCTCAGGAAATGCCACTCGATTGATCTTTACTGTGCACTTAGCAACCTGGATTGTGGAAATTGTTAAGATATAAGGGGATCCAAAGTCCATTGAATTCAGTTGGAGTCTTTTCGTTGATTTCAATGGGATGAGGAATAAGCCTATAAGGGGGGGAAACCAAGCCTGTAAAATGAAAGGACCAACAAAGGGGACTCACATTCCTCTTCTATTGGTCAGAGACAGTGAAGATAGACAGGGATAGTGCCCTCACAGCACCAATATCCTAAGGTGGCTAAGGGAATCCAGTTCCCAGCATTGTTCAGTTCCCATGGATCCAGCTGCCATCTTCAGGAACAGGGGAAATTCAGTCGCTGCATCTAATCTAGACCCATGCTTTCACTCATTACCAAATTAATGGCCCCCAAACTGCCTGTGCAATTCCCATGGAATGAGAGGGAGGATTCAGTCTGTATTCTTATAGCAGTGCAACATCTTCCACCTTGTTCCTCCAAGTAGAAGTCAGCCCTGCCCTGCAAGTATAACCTATCATTAGAAAAGAAAATGCCAAAGACATAGAAAAATGTAAATTACTGCATTGTTCTGATTATAAATCTACCATGTTTACCCTCCAAAAGAACCATAAAAATTGGACTCAACTTATATGCAGGGTTAACTTATAATTTGGCCCCTGACAATCTTGGCTTCTGTACTTTGTATTTTGGCATGTGCAACAACAATACTAAATCAGGTTTCTTTTAAGAGCAGTTTTTATTTTAGTATTATTGGTGCCTTACACGCATTGGGTCCTTTCCTTGTTTATTTGATTCTCCTGTCAAATTTGTAAGGGCAGTAGTCATTTAAGGTCTTTTCCCATAGTTATCTACTTATAGTCAGGGAAAAATGTTTTTACTACAGCTAAACTAGAAAAGATGGGCACAGTTATATGCAGGGCCAACATGTAATCAGAACAATATGGTACCTGCTTGTGATGTCAGATGAAGGACAGGTCAATGATACAGGCAACCTGGCTCCAAAGTCCTGCTTGGGAGGATCACAGAGGGTATGTTTACATTGCAGCCCATCACTCCTGGAGAGCATTGCTCTTGAATACATCCTACCTACCCGCTTTCACTCACATGTGCCAAATCTGCAAATAAGCCAATGAAGCTACTCCAGGGGGTGAGGAGCCACTCCCCTATCACTACACTCAAGCACGCTGGGGACAGAGATCTTGAGAGGGGTGGTAGAGCCTGGTCCTGACACGGCTTCACTTTCAGGGTTGGTGCATGTGAGTCAGAGCAGGTGGGGAGGGCATGCTCAAAACCTGGCCTTCCCTGGAGTGCTAGGCTGGCCAATTAGAGATACCCTCATCCCTCTCTCTGTGCTTCCATACTCCCTCTGTAAGAAGAGGACAATAGCACTGTCCTTCCTCAAAGGGGTGTTGGAAGTACACCTGATGATCAGGAGACACTGAGCCACCTGAAGTACTTGAGTGGCAGCCACGTAAGTACCTTAGATTATCACAGAAAGAAATGTCACTCAGATGGAACTGTTGTAAAATGGAAACACAATGGGCAAAAATGTCAGAAATGAAAAGTAGTTATTAGTGGTTCAATATGTCAAGTTGAGAGCATGGATATTTAATGGAGTCCAACAAGGGTCTCTTCTGGGTCCAGTGCTATTCAGTATTTTATTAGCAACTTGGATGTTGGAATAGAGAGTACATTGATCAAATCTGCAGATAATACCAAGCCAAGAGCAATCATAAATGCTTCAGAAGATGGGAATTAAATACAACACCGATTTCATATATTGGCAAAACGGGGTTGGAATCAATAATGTGAGATTCAATAAGAACAAATATGACGAGATCCATGCAGGAAAGTGTAATCAAATGCACAAATATGTAATTGGGACTGCTGACCAGGCAGTCGTGCCATGGAGAAAGATCTGAGGGTTAGTGTCGATGATAAATGGAATAAGTCAACAATGTGACGCCGCGGTGGAGAAAGCAAACAGTGTAGTGGGTTACATTAAACAAGGAAGGTAATTAATTATTCTGCTCTACTCAGCTCCAACTGGACTACTGCATTCAGGTTTGAACACTGCACTTAAAAAAGAGACAGAGACATAGTAGAAAGAGTTCAGAGGAAAGCAATAAAATGATAAAAGATTTGACCTACGAGGAAAGGTTAAGAGACCGGAGCACTTTCCAGCTTGAAGGAAGATGAATGAAGGGAGACCAGCTCACTATCTACATACATGTTGAGGGACATTATTAATAGGAGACAAACCAATTATTTTTATTTGTCATTAAGGACAGAGTGAGAAGGAATTGCTACAAGCTGCAGCAGACAAGGCTCAGAAAACTATGTAAAGACCCAAAGAATTACATGAGTGAAGCAGCTTGCCAACATAGGACGTGGGCTGACTACTGTTGGGCAGTTTACAAGCAAATTGATGTTGCTATGAGGATATCAACTTTTTGGGTCTCACAGCTCAGTTTAACTGTGGAGGGACTCTGACCTCAGGAATTGGAAAAGCTAGCCTGGAACCGAAAGAGATACAATCAGGACGAGAAGTAGGGTGGTATGGCTATGCTGGCATGGCAGTGGCATGAAGAGGTGCCCAAGACAGCTGTGCACATGCTGCTTCCCATACCAGAAGCAGTACAGCTGCATTTGCCTGGCACTGAGCCCAGGCTAATTACCTCTGCTGAGAGGCAGAGTTCATTAGCCCACCCACAGCATGGCACAAAGGCAGTATTGCTGCTTCTCATTTGGGACATAGCACATGTGGAGCCACCGGGTCCCACCACAACATTGCATGGCACTGCAGGAACATTTGTGAGGGGTTAGCCAATCCACCTAATCCCTCTAACCTCCACCCCCTTGCAAGCCAACTCGGGCTCCTGCACTGCTCACCTTGGCAAAGTGTAGGACTATGAGACTGACTTCCCAACCTAAACCATCCTCTATTTATTCAATCTTGAATACCACATCCTCCTGCATCCCCCAGTGGCTCCACCTATGATATGGAAATCAAGAGGGATCATTCGACAATCTTTAGCTGCACTTCAGAAACCAGGGCAGGATCCCTTTAATAAGGCTGCACACACACTTTCTGAACACAGAAAGCTGCCCCAAGAGGAAAGTCAGAAAGGAAGCATCTCCATTATTTGTGTCAAGCCAGTTATCAGGTTTAGGAAAACCTAATACTCTTTTTGGTGGTATAACCTTGCCTGATAAAAAGCAGACTTGTCCTCAAGTGGACAATTTATACAGGGAGTGACTAGGACCTCAATCTCCCACATCCTTGTTTCAGCCCTTTACCAACGTCCCACTTTGCCAAACTGCACTTTTAGGCAGCTAAAGACCTTTAGAAATCAGGTCCTCCAAGTCAAAGTGCCCTGTCGGTAGAACAAAGGCAGCTGTCCTCCCTTATCTCACTGGGGTGTTGGGATGATAAATACATTAATGGCCACCAAAAGCTTGCACATTGCAGTAAAAGGGGTCATATCCCCTCCTCAAATAGAAAAACTAGACAAGAAAACAAGTTCTGCAAGTACAATAAAAAAAAAAGTATCAGAGCTATTTCATTTCTTTTGGACAACTCTCCTCTGGAACATGCTGGCCTGCTGAGTGGAAAATAAGGCGTATTAATGAAGATTGGGCCTTCCAGTAACTTGGCTCAAAAGAGAGCACACCCAAAGCAATTCAACTGAAACTATCCCCACACACTACCTACGTCTGCTCAAACCCTTGAGGAGGTTTCAGCTGTTGTCCCCACTTTAAATTTCCCATTTCCCTGACTCCCCTTTTTTTCCCCCCTTTAATTACACTGAGATTGGCACATTGGGAGCCTCGCTGATCTGTTGCCACGGTTACTGTAGATGGAAGTGTTTTGTTAAAATGGCTTGAAAAATGCTGTCCTTAAAAAAAAAAATCCATTTCATTTAATTTTTTTTCCTTCAGCACAGTAAATGTGTTTGTCAGGAATTGTCTGCCGTGCGCCTTTCCTGTGTACTCCATGGAAAAGACTTTCACGAAGTCTTGAGGCGCAGAAGCAGAGGGGTCGCGCTGAAGAGATACAGCACTTAAACTGCATTACCGTATAGCTATAGTTACCGAACGCGATTCAATCCAGATGCTTTCACGGGGAAGCGGGTATAGGGGCGAGGAGGGGGCTTTCTCTGTAAAAGTTAAACTGGACGCAGTAGCTAACTGAATAATCGTGATAAGAATCTGTTAGACTTTGTGATAAATAGTTAGTTACTCCAAAAAAGCCAGTATCTTTATTGGGAATCTTAATGAAATAGCTTTGCCCATATATGAAAGGGACAATACCATTTTAGACTCTATCTTATGAATGTGGTGGTGTCAGCCCAGTGGAGCACTCAGCTCATCCTTATCAGCAAGCATGTGAAAAGCCCTATGGGCCAAGGAAGCACGTGGATCGGGTCCTATGTGTGGGTGGACCCCGGAGCTCCTGAGACCATGCCCCACCCAGAGCTTTCCATCGATTCCAGCAGGATTAAGTCCTTTCTGTACGAACAGAACGAGTGTGGCAGAGCTGGTGGAAGTACACAGTACTGCCCCTGCCTCATAACACCTCCCGTGCAAGGGCGTAACAATGTGGCTGGGCACCCGGGGCAGCTACTACACACAGAGGCAGTGGTGACTTGTGGTTGCCACTGCTGCCAGCGCAATCCTGCAACTGTAGCAGCTGCTGTTTTATTCCCACACCCCACCACCCCCAGCTGAAGCCCAGGGCAGCTGTCCCCATCACCCTGCCCTCACTCTTTTGGCTACTGTGGCAAGGCCACACACCCCGCCAGTGTAACACAGAATAGCTCCCCTCGCTATTGCAGCACCAGCTGAGAATTTGGCCTGTTCTTTTTTAAGACGTTGAGGGCGCGTCTACAAAGGTGTTTACTGCACATTAGTCTAATAACTCTGTGCAGTAGTGTGTCACAGAAAAACCGTGCT